AAAAATATTCCACCGATCGCTCACAGCGATTGACGAAACAACCACTCGATCGATGTCCAAGTAATAATTAATAATCGAATGAAAATTAAGTTGAATAAAATCTTGAAGGAAGTTCGACAACTGACACAAACAGTGGAACGAGAGCAAAAAGCAAGAAGGCGATTGGAAGAGGTGGTGAGGCGATTGAGCGATCAATATATTCTGTCGTCGACCCCGAAACCTTCGTTCGAGTCCCTTGATTCTGAGCCGCCACAACAACCACAACAGGTGAATATACCACTGAAGTCGCCAACTTGATCTGATGGTATCTATAACATAGGATGTTATACGCTAATACCTTTTTGCGTGATTAATGCATTTGCTGGTATTCGAGTTTTATGTTAGAGTGCAATGGTTCTCGTAGGGGAAAGGGAGCTGAAATTTGACGATATTAATTTGACTGGTGTCTCTTCGTAATTTTCACGTAATTGTTCAATAATAGCCGTCGATTCTGAACTAGTAATAGGTTGTCTGATCGCAATAAAGTGAATCTTTCAATGTAATCGATGGAAATTCATACAGTTTTGATTTTCTTTTGGTTAGCTGCTGAAATTTAATATATTGTCAGAGGAGGGAGTGGAGGAGAGTGGGTTCAGATTGTCTGCATTATTAGGGGAGCAGTGACGGTTTGTTGTGTGGCAATCGTGAACATGGAAAATGAGAACCATTGCTATATTGTTGAGGCATCATCAGTTTGGGTGTTGTTATCAAATGCCGTAGGATAAATATCGCAGTTTCTCATATTAACCTCGATGATGCAAAACGAATTTTATTAACGAATTTTTCTGATGATGCCTTCAAAGAATACCAGAGTTTAGGCAGTGATATGAATGTCTTCGATAAGGCTTTCAGTAACAATCAAGCACCATGTTACGTATTTTTTGATTTTTGTGAATTGAGACGATATCGAAATTACTCGTATTGTAATAGTTTNGGAAATGTTCTTATCTTATCGAATTTGACGTGCTGAATATCGATGTTAACGAATTTTGTTTATCCGTTTTGTATGTTCAGTCATTTTTCAGTCTACTTTTCATACCTTAGGCAGCTACTTGTTCGTTGGTTTTCAAAATACTGTCCATGTCGGACTATGCTAATGTCAGTTCTTTGAAGGCTGAAGTTTTGTTCATGGAAAAATGATTTATAGGTGATTTAAGTGGTTTGTAATGGACTGCTATGGGTAGTTACGAATTTTTTGAAGAATATGAGTGGTTAGTGGTATTAGATGATTGGAGAGCACGTTTTTTTTATATAGAGCTTCATTGTGTAACTGTAGGAAATGTAGATGGGGAATGTTTTCAGCGATTGAAGTGAAGTTCGAGGAGTTTTAGTCGGAAAATTTTCAGAGTATGAGTTCATGATTCAGATAACAACGATCAATGCTGCCGTGCTACCATCTCGCCGTTTTATTCTCTACCAATCGTTCTTTCAGATTGTTTTGTTTTGTTTTGNTTTAAAATTATTCTGTTTCAATCATCATTATTTTGTTTCCCTCCACTCGAAGCAAATTTAGTCACGATAGAAATTTGAAGTTGTTATAATACGTATTTATTCGACTTATGATTTCATAGAAGATTTGTTCGTGTGTAGTTGTAATTGTGTTATTTTAGTCGGAAATCTGTGAACTTCACAGCATTATGGTTTTAATAATACCCAAAGTTGTAATTTAGCTAATTGTAAGCCTAATTTAAAGCACAATTCAAGACTATAGGCCAAAGTCTTATCTCGATTCGAATGTAAGTGGATGAGCGAAATTTTAGAAAAAAGTACCAGAAGTTTCACAGATTGCCTGTTTAGTTTGAAATTGTTAGCATTTTGTTGGTTTATTAGTGTTTATGTTTGATGCAGCTGATTTTTTGAATGCAGCTGATTGCATTCATTATGTACAGTCTCGAGAAGAAGTGCTTTTTGCAGACGATAACTTTCAATAGTCAACGACTATTGAAAGTGGAACTATTCAGTGTGACATTTGAATAGTCTAGAAATTTT